GATGCCATTGGGCGATGCGCCTGGGGGGGGGCTGCGCTGTGGCAGACACGAGAGCCAACGGACGCCAAGTCCTGGCCCTGTCCGCCTCTTGGCACTTCCACCCAAGACTCAGGAAACGCCAACGCACACCACGTGGGCCTCCAGGGTCGCCGCTAACTGCCGCTGAAAGTGATGAGCGATACCGCGGACAGCGAGGGGCACGGGCGGCCCTGGGAGGGGGGGGCAACAACACTGGCGTCTGTCAGTACGCCTGGCGGGCCCCGGGGCCAAGGGCGGGGGGCACCCGCCTGGCCCGAGAGGGGAGAGACGAGGGGAAGCAACGCCCCTCTCCTCGGCCTGGCCCCGAACCCGTGGGTCAGGGGACATGGTCATTCTATTGGGTCCTCCAGGGTCGCAGCTAAGCGCCGCTCAAGAATAAGTAACGGTGGGTGGGTCCTTCGAAGGTTGTTCAGGCCGTGGGAGGGTGGGGTCCAACGTGGACCTTATGCCGTGCTGGATGGTGGTCTGTCACCGTGGAGACTGATGCCTCTACGGGGATGGTGGGTGTTGGTCCTCTAAGGTCGCAGCTAACCGCCGCGCAGGTCTGTAGTTGCAAAAACTGTGACCTGGCTAGGTCGAACCCGCCGCCAGACAGGCGGGGGGGGATGCAATGGCCGACCCCCCGCCTCCGGCGCGCGGGGTGGCTGTCGTCGTCGGACAGCAAAGTGTATGAGCTGGGGGGGCCTGTCTGCGCGGGCCAGGCTGGCCCCGCCGTGCCCGAGAGGGTGAGATGTCGGGTGCTAGAGGGGGAGCCCCTCCGCGTCAGGCCCGAAAAGGAGGATGGTGGTCCACTTGTCCAGTGTGGGCTGTCTAGCTATGCCGCGCAGTGGGTCAGATGTGGGGTTAGCCTTCGCCCCAGCAAAGGGTGGCCCCAGGTGTTGCGGCCTGAGCCGGGCGCGGCGAGGTGAAACTGGCCTCTTCGGGGCAAAGGGTGTCTGGAGGAGAGGGGGGCACGTTTCCTTGGGCAGGTCGTTGCCAGGGATGCTGAGGTGGGCCGTGTCCGGCGCGCGTCAGCCTTGGGTGTTGGCGTCACTTTGAGCCCACCAGCGGGCGCGCTTGTCCGAGTAGCGGTCGTCCCCTCTAGGGGGGTATCGCTTGTCCCTTCCTTTCCAATCTGAGTCCGTCCATGGGGCTTCACGACGATCCCACGAGGTCCATTCCTGCCAGCCCTGCCACTGGCTGGGGGTGGCTATACCGATGGCTCCAGCCCAGGGGTCCTGTGCAGCCGCGGGCGCGACAGCTCGGCCCTCGGTTGCCCATGGGGCAGGCTTGTCGCTGCTGCCGTAGTCGCGCGGGGCGTGCGCGTGGGCGTCGTGCCGCACGGAGTTCATGTGCTTGTCCCTAACTGCAGCCCAGTTTACGCCCACGATCCATCCGATATGCATCATGGCCTGCGTTGCTCCACGCCTCGAGGAAATCTGCAGACGTCTGGGGTGTGTTCAGCTTGGGGTTGCTCTTGTAGCCTCCCTTGGGGTCCTGTCTCAGGGCAGCCCGTTGAACCCACGCGTGCCAGATGCCATTGAAAGCGCCTGCCAGCGTCTTTTGCAGGCGCGTAATCTTGTCCTGGATGGGCTCGTTCCTTTCCACTTCCGCAGCTGCAATGGTGCATCTGTACATGGGGTCGCAACCCATGGGGTCGTTCAGGTTCTTGTAGTATGGCGGAGCACCCCTGCCGTCCCTCCATGGAGCCCCGCGGATCTCCGTGCGCGTGGTGTTGCCCCTTGGTGATTTGGCGGCACGCCCTTCTCCGTCTTCGGTGTCTTCCGATGCGGGCCGGTCGCGCCCCCTGTCCCATGCCGCGCGGTTGAGGGTGCGGTCGTCCCTGGCTCCCGTGCAATCCCAGGCTGAACTGCCTCCCCTCTCGGAGCTGTCTTTGGCACTCCGAAGCGCCAGGGCGGCAACCCGGTCGACGGTCTGTGAGTAGGGGGTCCAGGATTTGTCCCTTGGGGGCGCGTTTTTGAAAGCACCTATGGGGTCGAAAGGGTCTTCATCTTCGCCTTCGTCCGCGGCTGGTTCCGGGCTCGCGACCGGGCTCGCTTCCTTGGTTCTGGCCGCTAAGCTTCCTGCGTCTTCCCCGCAGTCGGGCACGTCCTGCTCGCCCTCGATCTTGCCTGCCTGCTCGCGCGAACCTTGCCCTTCTGCTGGAGGGTCGTTGGCCCCGTCGTCGCTGGGAGTCTGTGCATCTGCCCCGGGAGGGCGGCCTGGAGTTGCCTCCTGCTCAGGGGCCTGGCTGTTTGCTGGGGGTCTGTCTGCTGCCTCACCTGTCCTGTTCAGCCAATCTGCCGCCGGAGAATTGGCCGTGGTTGCGTAATCTGTGTCAGTCTGAACTGGGTCTCGGTTGGCCAGTTCTTCGATGGTGCCGTCGGCGAGTGTCGCGGGGTCCATTCCCATGAGGTATTGCAATAGGGTGCTGAGCCGTTGGCGGAGAGGGCGCTCGCCACGCTGCTCGGCGAGGTCGGCAGCGTATGCTCGTCACTTGCTCGCATGCATAACGTTGGCCCTCGTTAGGTGGGACGCTACCCGTGCCGCCGCAG